AACTAACAACATCAAACACACAACTACAATACACAACACACACACACACCACAACACGCACACACAACACACCACGCAACAAACACACACACACACACACACACACACACGCACGCACACACACACACATACACCACACGCATACACGCATACACGCCAACACACACACACACACACACACACACACACACACACACACACACACACACACGCACACACACACGTACATCTCACCAAACCTCTTAGGTTTTCTTGATAAGGTAGTCAGTAAGTGGAGTAGTCAGTAAGTGGAATAGTTTTGGAAGCGATGTAGTGGAGGCAGGATCCATACATAGCTTTAAGCAGAGGTATGATAAAGCTCACGGTTCAGGGAGAGTGACCTAGTAGCGATCAGTGAAGAGGCGGGGCCAGGAGCTCGGACTCGACCCCTGCAACCTCAACTAGGTGAGTACACACACACACACACACACACATATATGTATATTATATAATATATATATATATATATATATATATATATATATATATATATATATATATATATATAATATATATATATTAAAACCAAACACGACAGTATTTATTAGATTGTGAATAGGCAAACAATCCGACTGAAGACTGAGGAGGCGGACCAGAAGCTGAAGAATCAAAGTTACAATACAGTGGATGGAACGATTAACAACTAACCCACTGTTTAGAGAAGGAATTTTAGACAACGTTTCGGTTCATCTTGAACCATTATTAAGCTGGAACTGAAGCTTAATTCTTCCCACAGTGGTTACATACTGTGATATTAATGTGTTATATGTTCACGAGTACAGAAAAACAGCAAACACCAGCCATTTACATCACTGTCTGACGTATTATGTTTTAGCTTCTAATTGGTCCACTCTGGCACTCTAGAGGAGTGGTCACATAGCCCACTCTGGCACTGTAGTTAGAACAAGTGATACACTGGCCCACTCTGGCACTGTAACAGAGTAACAGTGATACACTGGCCCACTTTGGCACTGTAGTTAGAACAACAGTGATACACTGCCCACTCTGACACTGTAACTAGAGAAACAGTGATACACTGCCCACTCTGACACTGTAACTAGAGAAACAGTGATACACTGGCCCACTCTGGCACTATAACTAGATCAACAGTGATACACTGGCCCACTCTGGCACTGTAACAGAGTAACAGTGATACACTGGCCCACTTTGGCACTGTAGTTAGAACAACAGTGATACACTGCCCACTCTGACACTGTAACTAGAGAAACAGTGATACACTGCCCACTCTGACACTGTAACTAGAGAAACAGTGATACACTGCCCACTCTGACACTGTAACTAGAGAAAGTGATACATTGGCCCACTCTGGCACTGTAACTGTAACCAGTGATACACTGGCCCACTCTGGCACTGTAACTAGTGATACACTTGCCCACTCTGGCAATGTAACTAGAGTGATACACTGGCCCACTCTAGCACTGTAACTAGTGATACACTGGCCCACTCTCTCACTGTAACTAGAGCGATACACTGGCCCACTCTGGCACTGTAACTAGAGTGATACACTGGCCCACTCTGGCACTGTAACTAGAGTGATACACTGGCCCACTCTGGCACTGTAACTAGAGTGATACACTGGCCCACTCTGGCACTGTAACTAGAGTGATACACTGGCCCACTCTGGCACTGTAACTAGAGTGATGGTTTAGAAAGACACGTAAGCAAACACCATGACATATTTATTAGAAAACGTTTCGGTCCTGGGACCTTGATCACTTCTAAGTGACCAAGGTCCCTGGACCGAAACGTTTTCTAATAAATATGTCATAGTGTTTGCTTACGTGTCTTTCTAAACCAACTTGTCGGTATTTATTACCAAGGTTTATATCAACTAGAGTGATACACTGGCCCACTCTGGCGCTGTAACTAGAGTGATACACTGGCCCACTCTGGCGCTGTAACTAGAGTGATACACTGGCCCACTCTGGCGCTGTAACTAGAGTGATACACTGGCCCACTCTGGTACTGTAACCAGAATGATACACTGGCCCACTCTGGCACTGTAACTAGAGTGATATACTGGCCCACTCTGGCACTGTAACTAGAGTGATACACTGGCCCACTCTGGTACTGTAACTAGAATGATACACTGGCCCACTCTGGCACTGTAACTTGAGTGATACACTGGCCCACTCTGGTACTGTAACTAGAATGATACACTGGCCCACTCTGGTACTGTAACTAGAGTGATACACTGGCCCACTCTGGCACTGTAACTAGAATGATACACTGGCCCACTCTGGCACTGTAACTAGAATGATACACTGGCCCACTCTGGCACTGTAACTAGAATGATACACTGGCCCACTCTGGCACTGTAACTAGAATGATACACTGGCCCACTCTGGCACTGTAACTAGAGTGATACACTGGCCCACTCTGGTACTGTAACTAGAGTGATACACTGGCCCACTCTGGCACTGTAACTAGAGTGATACACTGGCCCACTCTGGTACTGTAACTAGAGTGATACACTGGCCCACTCTGGTACTGTAACTAGTGATACACTGGCCCACTCTGGTACTAGTTTCAACAAATAAGAATCTAACGTTAATTCTTTGATAACTAATTTATTTATTAAATTAAGCCAAATGATAATGACAATTACAGTAACAAAAGCAAAACTGAATATAACAATGACACAAATAACAATAAAAATAATAATAATAGTGATGGCAAATTGTAATATTTTTTAATTTATTATTATTATGATCATTTATTATCATTACATGAGCAATAATAATAGTTGTTGACTGTAGCAACAATAATAATAATAATAATTACAGATAACAATGCAAACTGCTGCTTGAAATGACTCACGAAATCGTAATGACACGATTGCAACCAAACCATACCACGGGCGGGATCGTGTCATTACGATTTCGTGAGTCATGTTGACGGCATTGAGGGGACTTGAGCTAGAGTTCGTCACGGCCACGCTAGCTGGAGATTCGTCTGTAAAAACTTGCATTTGTGGTCACAGAGGTGCCTATGCTAACCTTCCTATGGTGTAGAAATATACCTAGTTGGACGAATCTTATTGTGGCTAGCTGGTCTAGTGGCTAACGCGACTGTCTGGAGTTTTGAGACTCTCTGACCGCGGGTTCTATTCGCTCCCGTGGTATGGTTTGCTGCTTGAAATATCTGTTATGAAACTTTTGATGACTTTTGTTGGTTGTTAAACATGAAAGAAAACTATGGGAGAGAGAGAGAGAGAGAGAGAGAGAGAGAGAGAGAGAGAGAGAGAGAGAGAGATATATATCTGTGGCAAGAGTGCTCTTTTCTTACTTATAATTACATTATTATCTGCCTGTATTGTACTCACCTAGTTGTTGTGGTTGCAGGGGTCGAGTCATAGCTCCTGGCCCCGCCCCTTCACTGGCCTCTACTGGGTCATTTTCCCTGCACCATTAGCTTTATCATACCTCTGCTTAAAGCTGTGAATGGATCCTGCCTCCACTACATCGCTGCCCAAACTATTCTACTTCCTGACTACTCTGTGACTGAAGAAATACTTCCTGTGTGTGTGTGTGTGTGTGTGTGTGTGTGTGTGTGGTATGTGTGTGTGTGTGTGTGTGTGTGTGTGTGTGTGTGTGTGTGTGTGTGTGTGTGTGTGTGTGTGTTCCTATGGTCCCAGACTATTCAACATCTTACCAGAAGATATCAGAAACACTGCTGGGACAGGTGTAGAAGTCTTCAAGAGGAAACTGGACAAATAACTCCTCCAAATGGCAGAACAAACCAGGAGGCTGTGATGGATATGTGGGCCAGCGTGTCGCCAGCAGCAACAACCTCGTTGACTAGGCAAGCACCAGACAAACCTGGCCCAGGGCTGGGCTCCGGAAGTAGGATAACTCTCGAAACTCAAAGGTATATCAAAGGTATATAATTGGGCTGCGTGTGCCTAAGGCTTCCAGTACCACTGCCTGCCTCTGTTTCCCCTAGCTAATTGGAGTCCTTACAGAGTTCAGAAAAGCTCTATCAGACCAGCTCATTCTCGCCCCATACCTTTATTAAGTCAACGTTTCGCCCAAGGAGAGCTTTATCAATTTATGATAAGAGCTCTTTTTGAATGAAATAACAGTGTTTTTGTTCTAAGAATCTGTAATAAGAATGTAAGAATCTATTTTCCAACCTAGAGTTGTGTTAGGTAAAATGACGCAAGTGTAACTAATGCGACATTTTACTGTGGCAACGTTTCGCTCTGTAGGAGCTTTGTCAAGGCTTGACAAAGCCCCTAAAGATGGAAACGTCGCCACATTAATTGCACTTGTGTCCTTTTATCTAACATATTGTCTGTAATTTTACCAACAATATTACAGCCCCGAGTTGTGATGATGGCGTCATGATACTAACATCTGGCTCCAAATGACATATTATTATTATTATTATTATTATCATCATTACTGTTCCCCATTAAAATTTTCCTGTCCGGGTGCACGACCCATAAACAATATAATTTACAGTTATTCACTAGGAACGTCAAGATATGTATTGGTGCCTCGTCTATAGCGCTCACATATCACCTCTGATGTACATAAACAATGATAAAAATAATATCTGATATTAAATTGCCTTTAAAATATGTTGACGCGTTTCCCGTGCCTTCGCAAGTTTGTGAAGCAGTCTTGTGAGTGTTTTCCTGCCTACTACCCCTCCCTCCCCATCACCCCAACCTTCCCACTTCTCTCCTCACCCTCATAAGTAAGTTTATTTAGGCACAGGTAAACATAAGTACAATTATCATACATAGTGATAACTCCCCCCCCCCCCCCAAAAAAAAAAAAGTCAGACGAGGTGGATTATTTTTTTTAGCACACTGGTAATGTATCCAATTTTGGTAAGTACATTCTTTTCACTAGCACCACCTCTCCCTCTGCTGACAGGTGGCAGAAGTACGTATTAACAGTAGACGAAGGTAAGGTCTATTGTAACCACAGAAACAATCAAACAACCATTGACAAACCACACAGTGGAGACAGGAAGCAACTCTGATGCCGCAAATGGAAAAGCAACTTCCTCCACCATTTCTCTGATAGCTACTGCTGTCAGCTCTGGAGGTAAGTTCTTCCAACACGTCTATGATAGCTACTACTGTCAGCTCTGGAGGTAAGTTCTTCAGCACGTACATGATAGCTACTGCTGTCAGCTCTGGAGGTAAGTTCTTCAGCACGTACATGATAGCTACTGCTCTCAGCTCTGAAGGTAAGTTCCTCCACCACGTCTATGATTGCTACTGCTGTCAACTCTGGAGGTAAGTTCTTCCAGCACGTATATGATAGCTACTGCTCTCAGTTCTGGAAGTAAGTATAGAAAACGAACGAGGCAGAAAACGTTGATGTTTACAGTAAGATCTTACACTTATTTTTATAAATAATGTTATACACATCAGGAGCGTGTTGTTATCCCACTTAAACTGTAACTACTACGATAGTTACACTGTGGGAACACCCGCGGTGTGCTACTCCAATATTCTATATAATAGTTATATTGTGGGAACACCCGCGGTATGTTGCTGTACTATTCTATATGATAACTGCATGTAGGAACACTTTCCGTATGCTACTGCACTGTTCTATACGATAGTTATATTGTGCGAACATCCGCGGTATGCTGCTGCACTATTCTATACGACAGTTACACTGCGGGAACACCCACGATATGCTGAACACCCGCAGTATGATATAGCAATATTCTATGATAGTTATATTGTGGGAACACCTGTGTTGTGTTGCTGCACCATTCTATACGATAGTCACATTGCGGGAACACCCACGATATGCTGAACACCCGCAGTATCCTGTTGCAATATTCTATATGATAGTTATATTGTGGAAACACTCGTCTACCTGCCTGGAGTCTACCTGAAGGGTATTCCAGGGGTTAACGCCCCCGCGGCCCGGTCCACGACCAGGCCTCGTGGCATGTTGCTGCACTATTCTATACGATAGTTACAGAAATATTACATAAATACGATGGAAACAAAATATAGCAATGTTTCCCTGTCACATTAAATCACAGAGGATGGGTTTGCTTACATCAAGGGGTCACATATAAGTTTTAACTTTACGTTCCTTCCCTACCCTTCCCTGAATCAAACCTGCTTACCTCCCACTCCCTAGATGGCCCTACGGGTCTGGCGCTTCTCCGCGACTAAAAAAAACCAAATTCATCCACAATTTTGTATCTTTTATTCTATATAAAGCTCTACACAGAGCGAAACGTTGTCACAATAAAAGCTTGCACTGCACCAGTGTCTTCACTGTTCGTGTTGCAAGATGTTGCAAAACGTTAAAAACTCCTCAATGTTCTTGTCTAATACTGACGGTGATTAAAGAGTCTTAATATGCATCACAAGTAACTTCATAAGATATTCCTTAGAGTAACACTCTCGCAAGCAAATGAACACGCAACACATACACGGAATATTTACACATGTATGAGACGAAAATATATACATGTATAATGAATATATATATATATATATATATATATATATATAATATATATATATATAATATATATATATATATATATTATACCTCTAGAACTTTGCTGGGGACCCTCATCCTCAGAGAAGACAATTAAAGGACCCCCCATTGTCTTCAGAGGTCCTAGCAGAGTCTACAGGTACTCTGTGACCTTTACGGGATTAGCTAACACTCCTCTCCCCCATCGTGCATATATTAATAATCACCGAATATAAAAAAGATATCTTTTCTTTAGCATCAATGTTATGGTTCTTATATACAGGTCGTCCTCAGGTTACTTTTCTTGGTGTTAAGTGAACTGTTCCAATAGTGTGACTTGTTTTATTCTTAATCAGTGTTGTGAGAAAAAGGTCAGGTTTCTTGGGTGAAACCTGAATACATCACATTTCCCTGGTGCTACATGACCCACTATGAGTTTAGCGCTTCCCCGTGAATATAATAACGTTAGTTGACGTTTGTGTGGCAATATATACTGTTGTAGTTCTGGTGATTTTTTTATATTTGAGAAGTGCTGTGACCCTTGCTGGGTTAACGTTTATTTTGATAATAATAATGATGATAATAATAATAATTATTATAATAATATCTGATCGTAGTTGTACATGCTTTTCCTCTTCAGATCCCTTCATGGAAGGCGCCTTGATGTTGAGGGGCATATGATCCAAGGAATAGGAGCTACCCTCATCAATGAACCACTCCTGCCCCCCCCCCCCCCGCATTTCCCAGTCGCTGTATAGCTCGGACGCGTTCAGTGCTTCCTCGTAAATAATAATATTCCTCAAACATCTTGGTTTCTTCAGGATGCCGCTACGACAGATGACAACCTCAAGCGTAGACGAGATGGAGGACGCTCACATGTGTCTCCGTTGCAAAGCTATCATCGTCGGCCTCAGCAACTATGTCACTCACAGGAGGGCAGGATGTACCACCGCCACTCCCCAGGACACCCAGCCGCACACACAGCAACCACAAACACACACAGCTGGAAAGGCCTTTGAACGAGAGGAATCAAGGAAAGACGTCGTGCAGTTCTCGGGCAGCAGAAACACCTTTTCACACGACGACAATAAGTTCTCTAGCCAGGATGGCTCTCATGAAAAGCTGAGCCATCATGAGGATAATTTAGACGGCGCCAAATATATGTCACCGGCCTCGGTGTCATTAGAAAATTGCTACATGAGGCGACCCGTAGAAGAATCACAGGACCAGTCACTAACCAAAGTGGAAGTGCGACCTGCCGAGGACCCTCCAGTCACCAGAGCAGGAATAGGGCGCCTTCATGACTCTTACACAGTCATGGAAGACCTTACTGGTGTTATACCACAGTCCCATGCCGACACTCAGATAAGCAATGGTCTTACCTCACTGAAGGCTAAATCACAAGATTCTCTCGCCCTGAGTCATAGACAAAACCCAGCCCAAGTTCCCTTTACTAGTTACAGCGATCCCCTCTTGCCGCATGGTCAAGAGCCTTCTAACATTTCACTCTTTAGACACTTTGACACATTTAACAATCCCAATAAAGTGACACACGAAGGAGAGTCAGAATCTCACAGCGAAACTATTGCTCTGTTTAAAGTTGCTTCTACGTCATATGATCTTGAGAGCCAGAATTTTGAATCGAGGTATTCCGAGTTTTATAACCTTCAGGCCACGCCACATGAACCACTCTTGACTACAGTTCCAGCGCTAGAACAGTGCAAAGTTAAAAAAGACACACGGATACTTAAGAAAGTTGAAGAAATTCTTGAAAATCGAAGCGGTAAACAGAGGGATCTAGACAGAGAGAAGGGTAACAACCAAGAGATAAGAGACGCCGGTGGGGAGTTTAGAGAAGCTAATCTCAAGTATAGTGAGCCTCAGCTGTCTCCTGGGAACGAGAACATTGCTCAGGACAAGCCGGAACTTCGTCAAGACGACTTTCTCTCGTCTCTTGAGCTCAGGAGTAGTGTTAAGGCAACGAGAAAGAGACGCCACGACGATGACGAAGAGTTTGACGAAGACGAGGACGATGACATAGGACCTCCGCATCACCACACCGGGGGTAAATGGAGACCAGGAAGCCAACCACCGCCCTCTGTTGGGGGAAAGTGGAGACCAGCTACACCCAAGAACGAACTGGAGGACGAGGTGGAAATGGAAGATGATGAGGCAGAGGAGGAAGAAGATGCACTAATGTCACCTCCCCCGACATACACTAAAGGAAAGTGGCTTCCAGGCAAAAAAATAACTACCATTATAAAAGTTGGGAGGAGTGTAGAGCACCAATGCGACGTTTGCAACTGGACCCTCAAGAGCAAGGAGACATGTGAACGTCACGTGAATTGCGAGCACCAGGTTATCAACAATAACAAGGCATCAGGGAAGAAGGTAATTAAGACATCTAAAGAGATTCCTTCTGCTGCAGTTACCAGCAGACCCGTCAGATCTAAGAAGCTGGAGGCGAAAGGCTTCTTGAAGTCAACCATTGCACAGCTGAAGAGCAGAAAAATTATATCTCTTGATGAAAGTAAGAACAACAAGGCATTAAACAGAACATGCGGCAGTATACGTAAAAATGCAAATGCACCTCTTGCTGATAAGACGTTACTTAATGTGAAGCAAGAAATGAAGCAGGAAGTAAACGAGGACGAAGAGGAGGAAGTAAAAAAAGTATCATTGGTTACTCCGAAATTACTATGTCCCATTTGTAAACTATCTTTCGGGGAAGCTTATGCAGCCCTACACTTCGCCTCACTGGCTCACATTCATAACGAGCTAGAGTACAAGCAAAACAGGTGTGATGAAATTGATGCTAATTTTAATCAAATAATTCTCAGTAACTTTGGCGCTATTCTAAAAACTTCGCCGTTTTTCTGTAGTGGATGTAAGTTCTACTGTAACTTGCAAGACGATTTTTTGGCTCACATGAAAACTCACGTAGATGATCTTGAAGACGATGAGGTTAAGACCTTTTATTCTTGTTCTGTCTGTACTGACGAGGATGAAATGCGACTACTGGGAGTCCTGCGGCATCTGCACACACCTCATCATTTAGACAATGCACGGGACACCGTGTTACAGGCGCGTCAAGTAATAATAAGCAGCAGGACGGCGGTGGTGTGTCCGCTGGGAGATGGAACCTTCAGAACCATGCGGGAGTACCGAACCCATCGCAGGGTTCATCACCAAGAACCCGGCTTCCAGCTCAGTCACCAACGACTCCTGCGATGTCCTCAGTGTTCTTTCAAAGCATTACGGGAGCGGGAGATTCGTACGCACATTAGAGAGGAACACGAGGATAAAAACTCAAAGAGAAATTCTTATCACTGTTTCGTGTGCGGACTCGCCTTTGCTACACATCGTCAGGCTGAGCTCCACAGACGATCGGCTGAACACAGGACAACACTGGGACGTCAGCGAGGTCTCTCTGTGGTTAGGACATGCAGTCTCTGTTACTTAGAGTTAGAGGACCTGCCTGCACTGCGGCGACACATGTGTCAGGAACACCAGAAGCACTGCACACCTTGTCACTTGTGTGGTGTGGTGCCTCCACTCCGCTCAGACCTGGCACAGCACCAGCGGGTCTGTTGCGGCCTCCCGGCTGACCTGACGGGTGATCATAAGTGTGACCTGTGCACCTTTAAGAATGACTTGTTGGCGCATGTGCTGGCGCACAAGACGCTTGCACACGGTCAACGTGGAGCCGACGGCCGCCACGCCTGCCATATATGTAAGGTAAGTTATAAACTGGCTCTTCAAAGAAAGTACCTTGATTCTCGTGAGAGAATTCAAGAAGCTGGAGCTACGGTTCCCTTTCTCTGATCAAACCTAGTTACGTTAAACTTCCCTGGAGTCCTATCTCCCTTACCTGGTTAAAGATTTTCCATGAATATAATATAATAGATCAAGATGTAATAAACGACTGTCTATGAATAAACAGAAGTGCGCCTCCCGACCGTCCTTCTGTTTATTCACAATAAAACAGGTTTATATTCTGGATATAACCAGTTCTTGCCCACTCTTGAGATGGCTGAAGCGAGTGACAATTTGAGTAGTAGGAAACAATAGCCATTGATCTATATCATTTTAACATATAATTGTTGAGTCTTTTATTGCAGAGAACTCTGAATGACTCTGGTCCCAGCGCTCTATACATTTTGAAAATGTTTTTCGTTCTCTCTTATGGATAGACCAAGCTACGTTTCTCGTCCGTCAAGGGCCACATGCTGAGTCACAGCAACGAGTGGCCTCATGCCTGCCACCTGTGTTCCAGGAAGTTCCCCCAACAAGAGTGGCTGGAGCGTCACCTGTGTGTTGTGCACACCCGTGGTGGTGGTGATTCCCACACCACCCACGGTCCTGCCCTCTGTGACACTTGTGGCAAGACTCTCTCTAACAGGTGAGAATAATACATTACCCAGCATGATGCATAACAGGCGAGTCAAGACTAATGTAATACAATACCTAGGACGATCTATAATAGGTGAGTCAAGAATAATACAATAGCCTGGAAGGAATAATTCACAAGCTACTAAGTGAAAATGGAGGCTGTATTATTACGACGTTTCGCCCACAAAAAAGGCTTTATCAAGTGAAGAAACTTCATTTAACCTCAGGTGAAACCTAATAATAAGGTTTCATTTTGAATTACGTCGTTTTTTTTAATGATTTTACAGGTTTTTAGTTGCTTATCCTTGACCTATCTAAAGCACAGTCACGAGGGTTGAGACTATTATATACTGGAGCCACAGGAGAGGACAGTTTCACAGGTGGGCGGGACCCACTAGCATCAGTATGGCATGCTTGTAAGTTGAGCCAGCAGTTGTCAACAGAGTAGTAGTAGTAGTAGTAGTAGTCCTCTCTACGAAGATTCCATGGTGTTGCTGTTTCAGACATGTAGTGTTTAAATTAATGGTATACAGTACTGCCAAGTTGATGAACAAGACATGTTCAACACATGAATATCATTACTGACTTTACTGAAGCTCGATCCTCCGTGTATCATCAAGAGAAACAATAGTATAAGTACAGGTACGTAAATACCGACACTTTGTGAGAAAGGTACATACAAGCATACTTAAGATATTTACTGAAGATGTTATGACTGGTAGTTTTTCAGTCCTGTTGTTTTCAGGAAGGGAAAAAAATCATCAGAGACTAACATTAATCTATTATGAAGACTTCCCTGGCATTTTCAATACATTACAGATGGCACCTGTACCGCCACCAGATGGAGGTGCACACCCACACCCACCTCTCACCACCTGCCCACAAGGTGCATACCCATCTCTCACCGCCTACCCACAAGGCACAGACCCATCTCTCACCACCTGCCCACAAAGACTCGCAAGGTGACTCGCTTCAGGAAGCAGAGTCCTCTAGCTCTTCCTCCCAACGAAGTCGCAGAAGTAGAAGGCTCCCAAATGCAACCTCACCTGTCTTATGTGACGTGTGTGGCGTCCAGTGTGAGAGTGCCAGTGTCCTCAAGGTGTAAGTCAACAGTGCCAGTCTCCTGCTGGCACTCACTTTTAATACCAGTGAGTCACTGATCATTAATAATGAGTCACTGTTCATTAGCGAGTCAGTAATGATCACTGCCTCACACACAGTACACCAGAGTAGCTCTCTCCTAGTTACCTTAACTTTGCATATACATTATAACACTTCGTTGAAAATCAACGTAAGCATGGTGGTGCAATGGTGCAAATTGCACACTACACTTTTACCCTCACTCCACTCCCCTTGTGTGTGTGTGTGTGTGTGTGTGTGTGTGTGTGTGTACCTAACACTCACCCTCCTTGTGTGTACGCCTAACAGAAAACACACAGGTTATGTTGTACACTAATACAGCATATAATATTTGACTAGGCAATTAGTTTGTTAGATAGCTGGGTGGTTTAACAGGTTTAAATCCAGTCGACTACATGATTGTCATTAAGTGTTCATATCACATGTTCGCGCCACCAGCCAAGGATATATCAGTCTTCAAAACTGGAGTTAAAGAAAAGTCTCAGTATATATTCACTGAAAAATACACTTTTCTCAGTGTATATAATTTTGGTAGAGGGCCTCAGTGCGTGACGAAATGTTCAGTACTTGTTTTCTATGACCCTCCAGGGAGGGTCCTTGATGCTGGTGAGGGCTCCTAATTTATGGAATTGAACCTGTCCACCTCTTCCTTCTGCCTATCTCCTATTCTCCTACTTGTATGATCCCTTGCGGTTTAGCGGTTACCATTATTTCGTAATATATGTATATATTGTGCCGAATAGGTAAAATTGGTCAATTAGCAAGAAGTCATTTAAAATTAAGTCCTTTCTAAAATTTTCTCTTATACGTTTAAAGATATTTTTTTTCAATCATGTTAATGTAAAAATTAATTTTATACCAAAAGAACCTTAGAAAACTTACCTAACCTTATTATAACAAGCACAACTTAATTTAGCCTAATCTAGCTAAATATATTTTAGATAAGTTTACAATAATTTAATAAATAAATAGTGAAATATATTTTTTTCGTTAGGTTCAGAATTATTTTGCGAAATTATTGCATACACGAATTTTCGCTTGCCTTATTCGGTAAGAAGACCATTGCTATATAAGCCAAAATCCCAAGTTTTACACACACACACACACACACACACACACACACACAACACACACACACACACACACACACATATATAATATATATATATATATATATATATATATATATATATATATATAAAATCATATATATATATATATATATATATATATATATATATACATATATACATATATACATATATATATATATATATATATATATATATATATATATATATATATATATATATATATATATTGCAATGTGTCAATATGGAAACTGTAATATACGACACAATTCGTGCTGCGGGTGCATATGAGTGTTTGGTTAAGACTGGATTGTTTGTGTTACGTGTGCAGGCACCGAGGTTCCCACAAACGTAGTGCTGGAGACCAGTACGACTGCCCACACTGTAACTACTCTACCACCCACCTCCCCCACCTCCGCCGCCACCTGCGCCTCCACACCGGATCCACCCCCTTCTCCTGCCCCTACTGTGCCTATGTCTGCAATAATCAGGTGAGTTATTCTATTTCTTCCACCTACCGCTTATTCCTTTACTGATATGAATTTAATCCTTAGTCTTGAGTAAGTAAATTGAGATTTGCTAAAACAAAACTCTAGAATCATCGATAATATGACTTAATAATATTGATTATTATGGCGATGCATGTAATAAAAATTAAACATTCTTAATAATATTGATTATTATGGCGATGCATGTAATAAAAATTTAACATTCTATCTAGTGCAAAAATTTTCGTATATAAAACTTGTGCAATTCTAAATTTTGAACTGTGGTTTAAATCTGAATTTTGAAAGGAGTATTAAAAGATAATTTTAAAGTATTTTATTTTTAAAACGTGTTTTCAGGAGAACTTGCGGAAGCACATGTTGAAGACGAAGCGTCACCCTGGTAGGTTTATGTACGAGTGTCGCCTGTGTGTGGTCAGCCAGGAACCTCCAGCAGGATACCACGAAGTATCCAAGACTGTGTGTGTCATTAGTGAGGATACTCCTGCAGGCCACCACCACGTCTCCACTTCTCAGAACCTAAACCTTGAGTCCTCTCAGCCTCTAAATCTTGCTTCATCTTTACAAACTCTCAGTCATGTCTCATCTAACTCTCAATGTCTGAGTCTTGATGTATCTACCTCACAATCCCTTAATATTGACACTACCACATCTCAGACCTTTTGTCTCGGTTCGTCTGCCTCTCAGTCACTTAATATTGGCTCATCTAATTCTCCTTCACTAAATCTTAGCTCAGCTATCTCTCAAACCCTCAATCTTTGCTCATCTACCTCACAAGACCTCAATATTAGTTCGTCCACCTCTCAATGCCTCAATTCTGAATCCTCTTCCTCTCATCCCTTGGAGTCTGGAAACTCTAAAACAGTGAATCTGTGTGTTCCCAAATGCTTGAGTATTGACGAGCCGCAGCCCATGAGTCAAGAAGTACCACTGTGCTTTAATGCTAAAGTCCCTAGCACTCTGGATTCCAAGATCCCACGAGAGCTCGAGCATGACGTCTTCAAGAGCAACTACGCCAAGGAGTTTCAGGCACATCTTCTGGAGAAGCACAGGGGAGCCTTCGAGACCAAGGAAGACGTGAGAACTTTATTGATTTCTTCTTCCAAGTTTGTTTTTATTAAAACAAGTGTTATACACGTGTTGTTAGTAGCATTTGATTATTTCATAGCAACAACCAATTATAAACGTTGTCTCCTGCATATAGTTAATAGGTTGTTTTACTGGGTTGAGCTCCAGTACCTGGGCTTTACCTTCACTTGACTAGCGAAGTGGATTCCTTGATCCTTGGTATTATGATTAAGTGTTTGAAGTAAAGAGTAAAATACTTTGGCTGAAGCAATTCACAAGTAACACAATTTGACGAGGAAATTTCTAACGATGTTTCGGTCCGTCCTGGACCATTATTAAGTCACTAGAAATAAAAGCAAAAATGCCATAAGATAGATCAGGTGAACAGGTGAGGAACATGCCACTGTCAGGTCCAGTTTGGCGTGTTGCGAATTACACAATTTGACAACGGACTAGGCCTAAGAGGCAAGCGTAATGAAAGCCGGGACTGTAGCACTGTGTTACGCTTGTTAAATAATATTTTTTGTCTAGTTTTCGGTAAGTGTAGTACATACAACCTCCGCTTGGATTTCTTTCCTGCTGGTTACCATTACTGTTCAGTGGAATATTTCTCTACGTTTTTGTTCGTATCAAACAAGGTATATATATCAATCCAATCACTGGAGTGATAAAGTCCCTGATGGGCGAAACATTGGACTGATAGAGCCCCTGGAGGGTGAAACACTGGCTTAATAAAACTCTTGGTGGGAGAAACATTGCATTAATAAAACCCTGGTGGGCGAAACGTCTCCTTAATAAAATTTCATAACATTGCCAAATGTCTTTTATATACACAACTTCTTACGCATTTTTTGGCGTAATTTTAACTCCTGTTTATATTCAATCATTTATCTTCCTGTTGCCTATTTATACTCGCATTTTCTCTCTCTTCCTGGTCATGGTTCCCAAAAACTGTACAAAGACAATAACTTTCTTGATTCATATTGATCTTATATATGGTTGTTGTCATATTTCTTCTCTCTCTCTCTCTCTCTCTCTCTCTCTCTCTCTCTCTCTCTCTCACTTATAAGGTAGAATTTCAAGTAACTTTAATCTGTCCTTGTCAGTTAGGCTTCTCACCTGCTTGCTAATGAGCATGCGCAGGTGTGTCACTGTGGGTGCAGGTGTGTGAGTACAGGTGTGTCAGTGATAGGTGTGTATAAGTGCGAGTATATATGTGTGAGTTCATGTGTGTATGCGTAGAAGAATGAGTGTAAGAGTACAGATGTATATGTATAAGCAGATTTGTATGCTAGGCTGCATTTTAAACATCAAATCATTTATCAAGAAAACCTAAGAGGTTTGTGAGATGTACGTGTGTGTGTGCGTGTGTGTGTGTGTGTGTGTGTGTGTGTGTGTGTGTGTGTGTGTGTGTGTGTGTGCGTGTATGCGTGTATGCGTGTGTGTGTATGTGTGTGTGTGTGCGTGCGTGTGTGTGTGTGTGTGTGTGTGTGTGTGTGTGTGTGCGTGCGTGTGTGTGTGTGTGTGGTGTGTGCGTGTGTGTGTGTGTGTGTGTGTGTGTGTGTGTGTGTGTGTGTGTGTGTGTGTGTGTGTGTGTGTGTGTGTGTGTGTGTACTCACCTAGTTGAGGTTGCGGGGGTCGAGTCCGAGCTCCTGGCCCCGCCTCTTCACTGATCGCTACTAGGTCACTCTCCCTGAGCCGTGAGCTTTATCATACCTCTGCTTAAAGCTATGTATGGATCCTGCCTCCACTACATCGCTTCCAAAACTATTCCACTTACTGACTACTCTGTGGCTGAAGAAATACTTCCTAACATCCCTGTGATTCATCTGTGTCTTCAGCTTCCAACTGTGTCCCCTTGTTACTGTGTCCAATCTCTGGAACATCCTGTCTTTGTCCACCTTGTCAATTCCTCTCAGTATTTTGTATGTCGTTATCATGTCCCCCCTATTTCTCCTGTCCTCCAGTGTCGTCAGGTTGATTTCCCTTAACCTCTCCTCGTAGGACATACCTCTTAGCTCTGGGACTAGTCTTGTTGCAAACCTTTGCATTTTCTCTAGTTTCTTCACGTGCTTGGCTAGGTGTGGGTTCCAAACTGGTGCCGCATACTCCAATATGGGCCTAACGTACACGGTGTACAGGGTCCTGAATGATTCCTTATTAAGATGTCGGAATGCTGTTCTGAGGTTTGCTAGGCGCCCATATGCTGCAGCAGTTATTTGGTTGATGTGCGCTTCAGGAGATGTGCCTGGTGTTATACTCACCCCAAGATCTTTTTCCTTGAGTGAGGTTTGTAGTCTCTGACCCCCTAGACTGTACTCCGTCTGCGGCCTTCTTTGCCCTTCCCCAATCTTCATGACTTTGCACTTGGTGGGATTGAACTCCAGGAGCCAATTGCTGGACCAGGTCTGCAGCCTGTCCAGATCCCTTTGTAGTTCTGCCTGGTCTTCGATCGAGTGAATTCTTCTCATCAACTTCACGTCATCTGCAAACAGGGACACCTCAGAGTCTATTCCTTCCGTCATGTCGTTCACAAATACCAGAAACAGCACTGGTCCTAGGACTGACCCCTGCGGGACCCCGCTGGTCACAGGTGCCCACTCTGACACCTCGCCACGTACCATGACTCGCTGCTGTCTTCCTGACAAGTATTCCCTGATCCATTGTAGTGCCTTCCCTGTTATCCCTGCTTGGTCCTCCAGTTTTTGCACCAATCTCTTGTGTGGAACTGTGTCAAACGCCTTCTTGCAGTCCAAGAAAATGCAATCCACCC